TCACCCGATCTGTAAACAATTGTTTTGTTATCTAGTATGACATTTTTTATAAGACTGTTTGTTTCAACTAAAATGTTTTTTTTTTCTTTTTTTTTTCAGGTTGAAGCATATTTGAATCATACCTTTGCCCGTAATAGTATGAAGAGTTTGTCTTCCATACAATTTATATCAAAACAAATTAGAAGGGATAGGCAAACTGACCCTAAAGTTGAATTGGACACGTCCCTTTCTGTGTTGTTCTAGTGGATCCTACGTGCATTCAATGACTAACACTAGCTATTAACCCACAAATTAGGTCTAACGTATGGCACCTCGCTCTTGTGGGGATCAAAGCCACATTTAAACATCAAATAAAAGAAAAAGAAAACAAGGTTTTCATTGCAAAAGAGCATAAACAAATTATAGCTGAAATGTTTCACTCTGATTTTTTTTTTTTTTTTGGGTGGGGGGGGAGGGGATTTTTAGACTGCACTCTACCTTAGAATTCTGATTTAAATTGTAGACATACAATAATTCAAAATTATAAACAACTCCACCTATAACACTCATACCCGCCCCTAAATTAACATCAATTCCAAGCCGGCACCTACCCCCAACTGTATGGTGAAAATAGGATTTCTGGAGTGGACTGAACAATAAAAGTCCCTTTTTTTTATTTTTTTTGTCCACCTTTCGTAAAGCAAATGCAGTTTAAACATTTTGTGACAAATTTATAGTTAGAGGAAGAATTTAAACAATCTAGTAAAAAAAGAACCTTAAGACACAATTATATATAATAGTACATATAATAACTGCAATGCATGACATCTTGTAATCGAATGTAATCGAGGACTTCATTATTAATTATGTGGCACCTTTGACATTCCAATTCCATTATTGAGTGGGGCAGTTGATTCATGTCAAATGAAGGGAAAATCAAATGAGAAAAAAAAAAACACAACACAACAAACAAAACAAAAGGAGGGGGAGGGGGGCTCCATTGGCCATGGTTTCTGCAATCTATATATTCATGCAGATCCTACTGCAATCTTAGGATGTTGGATTAAATGACAGATGGATTCAAATCCCATGCATACTTCAAAGGAATTGGAATTTGCTCTCACACAGGGCGTCTCACACACACATTTCATCGTATATTGGGAACATCTCTCATAAATAATAACTTATAAGTACAGAAGATGTTCCCAATACATAGTAGGATGTGCCTATGAGGTCGTGGTAACTTGTAAGACACCCTGTGTGAGGAGCAGATCCGGTCTCACTTCAAAGTAGTAGAAAAGAAAGTTGTTGTTGTTGTGATTAGACCAGCCAGCTGCCAAGACAATTAAATCTCTCATTTGGCCCATGAAATAATTTTCAGAGAAGTATGGACAAGTCCAATGCAAATTTCTGATTTTCACTGTAGAGTTATTAGCATTCAAAATGGCAACAGCCCACACTTTATGCACTAACGTACGCTCATGAATTGGCATCAATTCCGAGCTAGCACCTATCCCAACAATACTCTATGCCTATAAATTCTGACCCTGGGCTGAACAATTTTTCTCCCAATAAATTTTCATCCACTCCTAACATCAAGTACGAAGAAATTATAAGGCTTGGATTTTTATAATAGAGAATATAAATAAAAAATAGGAGAAATAATAAATGATGCATAGAGGGGAGGACGTAGCCCGTAAGTCATCAAAATAAACAACTTTACAGTCAGGTGGAAGAGATCAAAGGTGGTCAAAAGTGTCAAAAGATTTGGTGAATAATATGCCTACAAAGATTATCTGCCACCAAGCTACAATTCCTTAGAATTTGGTCCCTCTCCAATTATAAGAATATAAATGTAATTTGAGCAATAACTTTTTCCGCATTCAAATCCCTAACTCTCATTAGCATTCATTAAATTCAATTATTAACTAATATACCCCTGTTTTTGAATTTGATCTCTTTTTAATTGTTAATGCACAAAATATAAGTTGAACTACTATATTTTTTCTCATTCAATTCTTTTTCATTAAGTATTACATTTAGGGTATAAGTATTACATTTGGCCTCTTTTGAAGATTTATCGTCTTGTAATTTCGATTTTCAATAGGTTTTTATGCAAGTGTTCCAGAGATATTTGTTGAATTTTCTTGAAGGAATTCATGAAATGGTATCCCAGGCACAAGGTGTGTAGCATTCTATTAGTGGATTACGAGGAGATGAAGCAACTAATTGGGTGTTGCTGAAAATGTTAATACTTGTATTGTGGCTGTTGCATACTGTGAAGAATGTTTGTATGATAAGACATTGGATTTTCGGAGAATGACAATTCTGCCCAGGGTCAGAATTTAGCACAAAGTATACTTGGAGTAGGTGTCAACTGGAAATTGATGTCAATTCATGGGTCAGAATATTGTACATTAGTACATAGGGAGAGAGTAATTGACATTTTGAAATATTGTAGATTTGCAGTGAAAATCAAAATTCTGCAATGGACATATCCGTACTTCTCCGTTGGATGTTTAGGGAAGATTTGAAATTCTGGACAAATCCAGATTCTGATGTTTAGAATACATTGATTGATGGATGGATTTTATAAAATTGGAGAGACTGGAAGAGCCAAGATCTTGTTCATGGAGACGGGCAAGAAAGGTGTTTCACATGATTCATGCCTTAATAATGTTTTGATTAGTTGCTTTAATTTGTGCAGAGGGTTTGATAGAAGAAGCGCTACTGTTGTTTGATAAGATGGCACGGGCTTTGTATAAGAAATCAATGTTCTATAGATGAAATAATAATAATTACAATAATATTAATATTGATATTGATTTATTATTCTTACAAAAATATATAGATTAACTGTTAAGTTAGGGTTATAATTGTTATTTTTATAAAAATAAGTATTTATGGATTAATTGGATCACCAAACCTACATCCCAAACAAGTACTTATAAATTAAAATAATTATAAGTGGATTGAGAAAGGACGACCAAATACTAATAAGTATTTATTCAAATAAATACTTATAAACTTATTTCACAAACCACTTATTGGCCAAGCATATTATTATGAGTCGTTTTCATTATTAAAGAGTGGTGGGATACGCGGCCTAAGGTGGCTGGATGTTAATTACTGATGTAAACGTTTTTGGTTATGTACTAATTATTTGTGGTGTATCAATTTTTTTGGCTAAGTACTTTGTCATTTGACCTGGTGGTGAAGTGTCTTGGTGATGAGCTACTTGGTGGCGAATTCCCTAGTGGAAAACTGCTTAGTGGCAAGCTCCTTTGGTGGCGAACTTCCTGGTGGAGAACTGCCTGGTGGCGAACTCCCTAGTGGAGATCTGCTTGGTGGCGAACTCCTTGGTGGAGAACTGTCTGGTGGCAAACTCCCTGGTGGAGAGTTGTTTGGTGGCGAACTCCTTGGTGGAGAACTGCCTGGTGGCGAACTCCCTGGTGGAGAACTGCTTGGTGGCGAGCTCCCTGGTGGAGAGCTGCCTGGTGGCGAACTCCTTGGTGGAGAGCTGCTTGGTGGTGAACTCCCTACTCCTAGGCGGCTTGTGACTCAGAGAATGGTGGAGCTCCCTGATGCAGCGCAACTCGACTGCCCTCTACATGAGGTGATCTTTCCTTTGTAGGCAGTGGGAGCTGAGGGACCTGCGAGAACTCCATTTTTTCCCTCCTCTTTATAGGCGGCGGGAGCTAAGGGACCTGCGAAAACTGAATCAAAGGACCCGGGGGTATTTTCCCGGTGGGGACTCTCCGACGCTTAATCAACTCCTCGAGGTCGTCAGGCTGGCGCTTGTGTCAGGCGGCCAGGTCGGTGCCTGGGCCAGGTTGTCAGGTCGGCGCCTGAGTCAGTCGGC